TTGAAGATTCAAAATTTCTTGTTTACGCCAATAAATTTCATCTAGGCTATTTGAAATGGATAAATCCAATTTATTTTTCATTTATTACACTTGACGTCCCACTGGGCGTTCCAAAAATTATTGGCTTATTTTTCCTATGAAGGAAAATATCATAAATGCGAGCGTACCAGCAAGGATTGAAAAATCCTTACAGATTAAATTCAAGCCAATTATCAAGCGATTGTGTTGACGGTTCTTTTGCCTCAACGAAGAGGACTTCAAAATTGTCAATTGTAGAGAAAAGAAAAAGTAAAAGAAGAAAGAGGGACGGAGAAAGATGATTGAGTGAATAATCAAAGAAATAATTACTTACCTCTACTCCTATGCTTCGAAAAAGAAGTGCGTAAAATGCTTCGAAATGGAAATGCTAAAAATAAATGCTTCGAAATATAAATCTATGTTAAACTACTCCTAAGATAAGGAAAATTGCAAGAAATATTGAAATCAATTGTCTTTGATTATGAAATCTAGGTATTTTACAATGTAGCCATGACTGACTATTTATAGACAAATATTTGTAAGAAAAAACTTCCAGCAATAACTACATAATAACCACCTAAAACTATCCACTCTTCCATCTTCATTTCCATAATGCCACATAACCCTCCATGTCTTCATAACCTCCAAATGAGTAGGAGGATGTCACATGTCCTGCAATTATATAAATAATAAATAATAATAAAAATTATAAATTTATAATGCCAACAGTAAATATATTATTTTAATCTAAGAAGAGGATAAATAAAAAAAATTAAATATAAAAATTTATATTAAACAAAAATCTTAAAAAAATGTCATGTAATTTATATTAAAGACTATTTTGAGAAGATGGTTATAATTAATTTTTTAATTAATTTTTAGTGAAAGAAAAAAATGAATTATAATCTAAAAAATGAATTATAACACACTTCCTAAAAAGACTCCTAAATCTCACGATTCATACTTTAAATCTCGACCCATCATTTCATTCTTGCCCCCCAAAGGATTGTAACAATACTCGAATTCTTTGACACGACAGCAAACATTGATGGAACTGTGGCGTGACACGTGTTCTGGGTCAACGGTCTTACCTGCGACAGCTGCCCCTCCTAATTATGTAGAAATCTTCAGGACAAAACTGACCCTGCAGATTTGGTAATGGCTGAGAGTAGGAATTGAGTGCGACAGCAATGATCCAAACATTCATTTTGGTACTTTAGGTCAAGTTTGGCAACACAAAAATAATTTATCTTTTTATCTTTTTTCTATCATATCACCTCTCTACTTTTTTGTATATTTTTTTATAAAAAGACAAAAAGTACACTTATTTAGATCATTCTAAACAACCCCTTAATAAAGCATTAATGACATGATAAGGAGGGAGAAAAAAAATAATTAAGAACAAAATATCACGTTACAATTGGTGAAATCTCACTGTCAACTCATTAAAATTAACTTTAGAACTCAAGAATTAGAGTTCTAAAGCATTTTTCTTAAATATAATGATAAGATTGTTAGAAAATATTTGGAACCATCACATAGAGGATCCCATAGTCTCGTTGATGTATTAATGATTGATGTGTTTAAATTTTTTTTATTTTTAATAATAACATGAATGGTTCAAATTATTTTAAAATTATGAAGGTTATGTTTTGTGAAGTCTCTATTATAATTCATCCATCAATACTTAGAAAAGTTATTAATTGATTTTAAGGTATAATTTTTAAAAGTGTTATAATTGATAGAAGAGATAATATTTATAATTTTGTGTTAAAAATTAAAAAATATAAATAGATATAATAATTTGTGATTTGTAAAAAATACCTGCACGTAATGTCCCTAAACCAATTAATTATTTTTCCATTCATTAATGCTAAGCTCTAGACGTGGCTGCATCTCATTGGTTTGACTTGAGAAACTCAAAGTTTGATTGTCATTTTTCAGAAGGAAGAGTTTCATTGTCAAATCTTTTAGTAATGAAACACAATTTTTGTTAAAAAACACCTGAATTAATTGAGCAGTAGCTAGCATGGATTATAGGGTTGGATTTGATGCTCAATTTATTAATTATAGTTATTCAAAGAACCTAGCATTTTGTATAGTTTGCCTAAATGAATTACTCTTAAACAAATTTAATTTGACCAGCAAAAAAAAAAATTAATCATTTGATTTCTTAAATATTTTTCAAGTATATTTAAAATTAAATGTTAAATCTCTTAATTTGTAGAAAATTCAATGGTTGAGAAGGTCAAATAGTAGGGCTTGGGAACTCAAGTTGGAGCCAGAATAGTAAACAAAAAAATTAAAATAGTTAATAAGATAAAATATCATATCCTATACATCAATCAATCCATTTTTCTCTTATAACCTTCTATTTTTACTACAAAATAAAAAATAAATCACAAATCATTCCAAATATAACTTTTTTTTTTTTTTTGATCGGCAAAGAGAAATATATAACTTTTTTTCATCATATAAAATAGCCAAAAGGTTAAAAAAAACAAACTAAAATAACCAAATTCTCAAACGAGGTCGGAATCTTTGAATGTTTGATCTCTATAATGGCCCTCAACTAGTACTCTCACATTTTTTTCACAAAAATAACATTTCTTTGTATTAATTGTTTAATTATTTGACAAATAACCTATTTTTACAAATCTTTTCCTATTGTTTATTGACAATCAAAGCAGAATAAAGCAATGTTGTACTTACATTTGGTATTCATTAAATTCTTTATTTTTCTTTAAAGTATAACAAAATACTAGTGTAGAGTTAAGTAGTTAGACTATTTATAAATACACGATTTTGATAGATATATAATTTAAGAGGACAAAAAATAAAATTGGAACAATCTTATTCTCTCCATGAAATGTGATTTGTTTGATAAATTTAAGCATCCAAAGACTTGATAAACTAATTTTATTTGATCTTAAAACAACTACGAGTTTCTCTCGATAAATATCCCAGATTATCCGTGTCCTTTTATGCCGCATAATTGAAAGCTCGGTTAGTTTGCAATAGTTTTTGTCACTTACAATAATAACAATTGAACCAGAATTCAATATTTAATAATTTTTATCGGTTACAATAGTAGCGATAATATCATGGAGATAAGAGTGCCATTAATACGAGAAGATTGGTCTCACCACCAAGTCCATGACTTAATTTCCAATCTGCTTACTTTTTTTTGCTTCATCCACATAGGCTTAGTCTTTTAATTTATTTATCTTTATTTGTTATTTCTTGCCATCAAATTGTTTCATGGTGAAAGCATCTAGAGAGTTGAAGGATGTTTGTTCAAGGAAAAATATATAATTTGCACAAATATAGCATTTTTAACAATGTAATGTAAATTCCTACAACATAATAGTTTTCCAATCAAATCAAAGTTCCAACCATATTTTCTTGTATTGTTATTGGAAAAAAAAAAAAACCAAACCCTAGTAAAATGATTTTTTTTCTTGATCGGTAAAGAAAATCTTTATTGATGAAAACATACAAGTTATGATAGATTACATCAATAAAGAGGAGTTTGGAACTAACACAAAGTTTCAAGCCCCAGTTGGTGAGGAACCAACAAAAATAGAAAACAAAATATGTTGCCACAACATTAGACATAGACGAAAAAACACAAACTAGATAGAAAATCAAACTAGAAAACATCACCACAAAGGCAACTTCTAACAGCATAACAACACACACTTCCTGATTTGCCTCAAATTAAGAATGAAATCCTGCATTCAGCCCATTCAACCAGCAGACCTGCAATCAGGAAAATGATATGACTTACATTGTGCTCACACAAGAGCTTAAGTTGATTTCACACTCTCATTGGGTTTGAGGCTTTAGTGTATTTTTTTATTTTATTTTATAGGAAAATGATCAAGAAGCATGATTTTTTTTTATTATTATAAAGAAATCATTCAAAATAGTGTGACAGCTACAAAAGATCTCATCATTTTATATGATAATTATGAATAAAAGTTCTTTTCATATAGCATTATCATTTTCATTACGATGAAAAAATATATATAAAAAAGTGCATAAAAGTTTATTTATACGAGACAACTTTTCTATACAATTTTTTTATTTTTTGTATCTTTAGTTTGGATGGCAAAATTTTAAGGTGTGGAGTTTTTAAGTTGATTATCAATTTTCCATTCTTTAAAAGGTATAAATGTATAATCAAAATTAAAATGAAAGAAAAGGAAAAAAATTATTATAATTATGAAAAAAATTCAATCATCGATTTTCACAAAGCATGATTTTTTTTTATTATTATAAAGAAATCATTCAAAATAGTGTGACAGCTACAAAAGATCTCATCATTTTATATGATAATTATGAATAAAAGTTCTTTTCATATAGCATTATCATTTTCATTACGATGAAAAAATATATATAAAAAAGTGCATAAAAGTTTATTTATACGAGACAACTTTTCTATACAATTTTCTTATTTTTTGTATCTTTAGTTTGGATGGCAAAATTTTAAGGTGTGGAGTTTTTAAGTTGATTATCAATTTTTCATTCTTTAAAAGGTATAAATGTATAATCAAAATTAAAATGAAAGAGGAGAAAAAAAAATTATTATAATTATGAAAAAAATTCAATCATCGATTTTCACAAATCCTTCACATATGTTAGCGTGCGAATATGTGAAGGATTGGTGAATGATCAAAGAAAAATGCTCCTTGTCTTACTCGTGCACGTGTGAGTGAAAAAGGAGCACGAAATAGTCAAACAGTAAAACTTGAGAATGAAGAAGGTCATTTGCGTCATTTCACTGACAAAGAATAAGCTGGTCCGACAAGGAAGCCATAAAAGCGGTTTCATAGACCCCGTGGGTGGTTTTCTATCCTTAGAAACCGCTTTCTTCATTTCTTCGGTGGTTTCACCGAGTGAAACCATTTTATTTATATAATATATATATTTATAGATATATATTTATAGAGAGAGAGAGGGAGAGAGAGAGAGAGAGAGAAAGAGACAGAGAGTTGAACTGCATATCGACCGCTTTATATGAATTTTGGGATTACAGAAAGTGGATCGTCCGGTCCTTTAGAGAGAGAAAGAGGGAGCTTAAAAAAGAATTTGTCTTTTGCTTCTTTTGTATTCAATTCTCTCTCTTTCTCTCTCTCTCTGTGAAATTATAACCGACTATCTCTCTAGACCCATCTATGTATTGATGGTGAGGATCAGAAGATGATGGTCAGAGTTGAAAAAAGAGCTACAAGTTTGTTTCATCATTAATGGGTTTCTCAAGAGGTGGCGTTGTTGAAGAAGCAGCTGATCATCATCAAGAAAGCAAGCTTGTTTCTTTCATGGCTTCCAATAAAGGCAATACTAACCACTCAAGCTCAACCCAAGTACTAGCAGACCAACAAAACCAACTACACCAACAACAACAACTACTACTACATCAAACTCATCAGCAACAACTCCAAGATCATCATCATCTTCATCCTCATCCTCATATTTCTTATGGAATGATGCAATCATCTTCATCATCATCCACCATTCCCAGCAACTTCATGTAATTCTTTTCAAAAAAATAAAGTAGATTCTCAAAAAACCCATTTTTGATAACAATTCTTTTTGTAATTTTATTTGATTTTTTGGTTTGTGTTTGTTGGGTCTGGCTGAGCAGAAGCAAAGATCATGGAGCTTATGATTTGGGTGAGTTGGATCAGGCTATCTTTATGTATCTTGATGGCCAAGACCACTCAACTGTTCAAGAACCAAGACGTGAGTTTTTTTTTTTTTTTTCGTTTTATGATTTTATTTTTGTTGAGTTGAGATTCATTCAGAAATCGGTTGTTTGGGTCATGAGAAAATTATGTTGGTTTGGAGCAGATTAACTCTGTGTGGCGTCCTTTCTTTGACCAGATCGTTGCAGAAGGAAAAAATTTAAAATTTTCAAGAAAACGTTTTTTTTTCTTTGTTCTGCCCTTTGTGATATAATTCGTTTCTGGAGTTTAGAGTCTAGACCATGACTTTTAACAGTCTTTTTTTCATTTTCTTGAATTACTTTATTTAAAATAAAATAAAAAATCTGATCGGCAATTTTCTGTCAAATTCTGATTGTACTGAAAAGGGTAGCAAATAACAATCCCTCTCTCATCTTCTCTCACTTGGGCTATCTTTGAATTATCATTATATCTGTAAAACAAAAGATTCTCTCTCTCTCTCTCTCTCTCTCTCTCTTTCTTTTATGGTTTCTGAGGATTCATCTGTGCAGAGAATTCTGGGATGAGGCCACCAACTTTGAATATTTTCCCTTCTCAGCCTATGCATGTAGAGCCATCATCAACCAAGGTATCAAAATCCAACTGTTAATGCTTCATTTTTATTCATTTTTAGCTCGTAATACTAACTCCATTCACTATTATTATTATTATTATTTTATATAAATTTTTAATGGGTTTGTTTTGTATTTGGTAGGCAAGTGTTGGATTAGTTTCATCTCAACAAACTAACAATGGTCCAAAGAGACCATCTGAGCCAGCCAGGGAGTTGTCTAACCAAAAAAATGTTGTTGCCACTGGTGGACCTGAAGCACCAGCCAAAGCTATCAAGGTAAGACTTAATAAATATATATAATTCAATAGCTTGTTTTTGTAAACTGAGATTTGTGTGTTTACTTTTCGTTTTTGTTTTTATGATTTTGTTTTTGTTGCTTTCATTGTTGTGGCAGCGTGAAGGAAACCGCAAAGGTCCAACATCAAGTTCTGAGCAAGAAGGACCCAAAACACCAGACCCCAAGGTATCTAATCTTCTTTGGTTTTCTTTATTATGGTAATCTATTCATATGAGTATATATTTATTTATTTATATTTGTTCTTCATTTTTGAGCAGACATTGAGGAGACTTGCTCAGAATAGGGAGGCAGCTAGGAAAAGCAGGCTTAGGAAAAAGGTATTATTCATTATTGGTCTTCTTGCTTGCTTGCTTGTGTTCATGTCCGTTCTCGAATCTCTCTATCTCTAACCGGGCAAACTAGAGGAGTGTCAAACCTCAGATCTCCTAAATAAAAAGTTGGGTGACTGATTATTCAAGCCATCCTTAGTCTATGAGTGTTTTAGAAACGGAGAACTCAAAGAATTAGAGACAGAAGATCTCATGCCGTTCATATTATTATTTTGAAGATTTCATTACTTTGTTTGTTTTGTTATTGCAGGCTTATGTTCAGCAGCTAGAGTCAAGTAGGATCAAGCTTACGCAACTTGAACAAGAACTACAAAGGGCTAGAACTCAAGTGAGATTGCTCTCTTTCAACTAATTAATGACAATGATTGAAAGAATGTCACTTCAACTATTTTATTAATTTTATCATTAAAAAACATGCTCTTAAAAACTTTGGGTTTTCCTTTAGGGTGTGTTTTTTGGGGGAGGTGCTGTTCTAGGAGGTGACCAAGGCCTTCCAGTCATTAACAACATAAGCTCAGGTATTCTTTGAACCTCTACACTACTAATAATTTAATTACTTAATTTTAAGTGCATCTAACTCATCATTTTAAATAAGGGTATCGTGATATAAACGATACAATTTTATATGCATCCAAACTATAAAATCTTAATATATATGTGTTTTTATGTTTTGTGTGCATGAGTGAATCTAACATTGCTAAGATCTCTTCCATGTTTTTATAGATGCTGCCATGTTCGACATCGAGTACACTAGGTGGCTAGAGGAACACCATCGGCTAATGTGCGAGCTCCGAGCAGCGGTACAAGAGCACATACCGGAGAACGAGCTTAGGCTATTCGTGGACAATTGCTTAGCACACTTTGATGAGATGATGAACCTGAAAAGCATGATCGCCAAGTCCGACGTGTTTCATCTTGTTTCAGGCCTGTGGAAGACTCCAGCTGAACGATGCTTCATGTGGATGGGGGGGTTCCGGCCATCCGAGGTCATCAAGGTATCCAAAGTTCCAAACCCTACCTGGTTTCATAACTGTTTTGATAATAAATTTTACAGACCATCAAAAATATGAAGCAAACACTAAAGGTTAAGTGCAAACGACAAAACAAAAGATGTCAAGAAACATTATAATAGGATATAAAGAATCAGTAATACTAGGGATCATGAAAAATATATCATGAATATTATCATGAAAGATTCTCAATCTTTAGATTACCCATACAATAAAACATCACACACTAATCAAGACTAATCAAGGGATGAAAAATTTTCATGATGTATTTCATGATATATTTTTCATGATCCCTAACATTACTCATAAAGAATTAGCCTTAATAGCTCTACTGTATTTAAAAAACAGCAATAATAGGTATCATGAAAAATCTTTTATGAAAAAAATCATGAAAGTTTTGTGACTTTTGAATTATATTTAGAATAAAGCACCACACCCTAATCAAGATAATCCAATAATCATAATTCTTTCACGAAAAAAAATTTATGATCTTTAACTTTTCTCTTTAAAAAATACGCTAGAAGATAGAAGGTGAAGAAGATAAAAGTGAAGGTACAAAACTAAGCTAACCCTAGCTAAGATGGACTTACTTTAGAATGAATTTGTTGTTGTTGTTTTTTTAATGTATTTGTTTAATTAAAATTTGAGGTTTATGTAAAGGAAACAAAAAATAAAAAAAACTACCTAGCTAGATGTGATCAGAAAATCTGTGGACAAACTTCTTACAAAATTTTAGTTCAAAAAAAAAAAAAAAAATTCTTACAATTTTATAAGTGAGTTAAAAACATATAAATAGGGATAATAATTTTTTAAGTACTGCTTCAACCCATATTTCCCACCTCGCTTTGGAAAGATTTTCCTTGCCTTGACGAGAAAATGGGACAAGGATGGTTTTACTTCCGATTATATTTACTGAGTATATTTATATTTATATAATATACATATATAATTTTTAAAATTTTAATATAATAAAATACAAAATTTATTGTTTGTTCTCATATACAATATATAAGATAATTGTTAACAACCAAGTTATTTAAAATTTGAAGCTAAAAAAAGAGATAATTTTTTTTATTTATATTCTCAAATAGAAATGAATAACACTCAAATGGATCCGATGGATGCACGTTAGTTTTTGGGCATTTTTTATAAAAAATTTGTTGTTATGTAAATGACTGAGGAAGAAAATGATAATTTTGATGAGCTATGTAGAGATATCAAGAGATATTCGAGGAGGTGAAATATATATATATATATATATAACAGTTAATAGCATGGCACACTTGAAAAGAATATGTCAAAATGAACATCAAAGAAATGACGAAATAAATCGAGAGGGCTTTCCATTATAAGGTAGAGTTAGGTATTATTCCAAACAAGGCCGTAAAGCCATGTCTGTTACTACAAATTTTGTGTTCTCTCAGACTTATTGTGTGAGACAGAAAGAGAGGGCATATTTTCTTGCACGGCTCTCTACTTTCTCTGTCTTTTTATCTCTTCTCTCTCTCATTGAATGAAAACAAACTCTCTTGTTCTTATGTTCATCTCGTCCATTTGTTTTTAGTAAATGAATTAATAACCAAACCCGATTCTAGCCATCTGCACCCTACTCAACAGGAAAATGACAAGAATTTTTATACAAAATTCATGACAAGAATAATGTGACAGTGATATTTCGCAAAACATGAGTCATCTGTAAGGTTTTTTTGCTGGTAAAAAAATTGTTTATATAATTGTTCTATTTGTATAACACTACTTTACCGAAAAGCATAACCATGTTTCAAGAAGACACTATATATATGCATGTACATGTGTAGCATATCAATGCCTAATCAAAGTTTTTTAAGTATCGGGCTATACAAACTTTTGACACTAATATTTACTATTATATCAACAGATACTTTCTGATATCAACTAACTTATGATCATATCAATTGGCCAATATGGATAAGACTATCACCTATCTTTGTTTAGATTATCTTACATAACGAACTTGTTTAGGTCAAAGAAGTAGGAATTAAGAATCTTGCCCTTCAGATTTCTTAAATGAAAAATAAAACACTAGGAAGAGCCAATCCTAATACTGTAATTTAAAATATGACTATATTTTTTTTTTACAACATTAAAGATTGAGCCAAATGTGGTGTTATGTGTTAGATAATTGTGAATCAAGTGGAGCCATTGACGGAGCAACAGATAATGGGTATCTGTGGATTACAACAGTCGACGCAGGAAGCTGAAGAAGCACTGTCTCAAGGGCTTGAAGCTCTGAATCAATCTCTATCAGACACCATTGCTTCTGATTCTCTGAGCTCATGCCCTCCTAACATGGCCAACTATATGGGCCAGATGGCCATTGCCATGAGCAAACTCTCTACTCTTGAAGGTTTTGTTAGACAGGTACGCAATTACATATACCCCTATTATTGTGATATTTTCAGTAAATGAAAAATTGTAAAACACAGCAATGAATTATTTCTTGTGTCCCAACTACTTAATAAAAGTAGATTAATGATAATTCATAATTATTTTTTTTTTGTTGCTAATCATTGATGAGGAACACCACTTGATTAACGCTACATAAATCTTTCAAAATATCAATTAATAACAGCCATGTGTGCAATATGTAATGCATTTATTGCATTTTGGGAGAAATATTTTATGGGTATGGAGCATAGCGGCTCACATTATTATTATTATTAGGACTTTTCTTAATTGTGCAAATTATACATTACACTTACGTCTTTCTGTTTGCTGTCATGTTTTATGTTTACACCTTCCACTTACACCTTTTGTATTAGTTGCATATAACCATAACAGTACCCTTATTATTATTATTATTTAATATAATTGTTTTACACTTATATTTAGGAGGTATTTGGGAATTGATTTTTTAAATATTTTTTAATTTTGTACGAAAAGATGTACAAAAAAAAATAGAAAGAATAATTGGATAACTTGTAATAATATATATATATATATATATTGATTAAAAATAAGTTCTGAAACCAGGCCTAAGTTAGGTACACTGTATTTCGAACACATGGGATAATTTCTCTTAATTTGGGAAACTGGGCTGGGCCCATCAAGGACAAGAATCTGGTCCTGCCCAGGGTTGGGAAACCTACTCTCCAAACTGATCACCTACTCTCTTCCTCACAGCTCATATACATACACAAGGTATCCCGCACCAAATGCATACATAAAATGGTTGAGGTTGAATCAACATATTTTGTAGTGTATTTATAGATTGAATTTATATTTCATATTAATACTTTTAAATAAAATTGAGAATTTAATATTATTATAGTTTTAGAAGTATAAAAGTATATTTAGAAATATGAATATTTATAATTTCAAATTATTTAAAAAAATTAATATAATAAGTAATACTTTTAAAAATTTTAAAAGTACGACCGTTGCTCCGCAACCTAGATCCATCATTGCACACAAATCAATACATAAAAATGGATGGACCCCATAAAATATCCACGTCGTAGAGATCTTCTTTAGGCCCATGTGTGGGGTTATGTCATGGTCATTAATTAAGTTTCATAACCGTTTGACTTTAAAAGACAAACATTACTTCATTTTTGACCACCCATATTAAGAAGAGCATGGCCATCTTAATTAACAGTTGTTCTACTAATCTCATCTTGTAATAGTGTGAATATAAAGACTCGGTGAGGGCATGAGTTGACTCACTAGATGTTCCATGTCTAAGTTATCAAGCTACACATGAGTTACTATTTTGATATGTGCTAGGGTTCAATTAGGACATTATTATATAAATTAACAAATTTAGCTATATATATAATGACATGTATTTTATGTCATTTTGATCTCATATATAAATTGATAGATAGAAGCAAGGATATTTTGGATAAATTTTTTTTTTTTTTTTTGTGTTTTTTTTCTAGCTGATGTGTTAAATTATGGTGTCAAAAATATCCGCCCAAATTAAATATAAATTTCATATATTAAGGACTAAATTAAAATGTTAAAGATTAAAATAATACAAAACGTATATTTTTAAAATCAATAATATATTTAATCCAGAATAATAAGATAAAAGGACAATTTTGTCATATACACGTGAGAAAGCTCTTCCTTCCACAATCCAAACTTTATTTGCTTAGGAAAACTTCTTTATTTTATCATTGTTATTAAATAAGTATCATAATTTGATAATTGTCAATTAGGTCTAAATCCTTCATAGTCACGGCATTAACATGGGATGTTTTTCATGAACTTCATCATTTTCTTTTCTTAATTTCATGTCAAACATACTGCAGAAGAAGAAAATCAATTCGTTGGTAAATTCCTATGTGCTCAAATTTCTACCTAGAAGGGTCAAATGAAGAAAATTGTACATTTCACTTTCATGTTTCTTATATTCTTTAGGCCACTTATTATTTAACACCTTTCCCTACCAGATTTCACGTTTTTAGTTTTGCTACAATTGTAATTTTTTTTCTATGTCGGTAGAAATTCTCACGATTTTATAGGAGGGTTTCACTAATCATCGACACGAGTGTTGATATGGAGCAATGAAAACTAAGTAAATGACTAAAATGTCCCCCATTTTATCTTCTGCTGTCAAGTTGCATCACATGAATGAATTTGTAACACATCCAAGTGTTTTGTGTACTTACAGGCTGATAATTTGAGGCACCAAACAATTCATCGGCTGCACCAACTACTGACGACCCGCCAAGCCGCAAGGTGTTTTTTGGCAATCGCCGAGTACTTCCATCGCCTTCGAGCTCTCAGCTCCCTCTGGATGGCACGGCCACGACAAGATTAAGAGGGAAAAAAAAAATTGAAAAAACAAAGAAAGAGGGAAAGAAAAACCCTAGCTACCTTTATATATATAGATATATATCTTCTAGTATAACTACTTCCTCCTCAACATTATGGTTTCTCTTATTTTCCTTTTCAAGATAGATGTATAGAAATAGACTAAACATAAATAGATTAAGATTATAACATTAAAGTAAATCTCTCTCTCTCTCTCTCTCTCTCTCTCTCTCTTGTTGAATTAAGAAATTTAAGGGAATAATGTGGCAGTCATTTCTGACTGAGAAATGGAGTTTGGGGGGTTGGAAAAGAAGAAGAAATTGGAAATAGGAGGAGGAGGTTTCAATTGTTTTTTATTTTTCTAAAATGTGGATGTGCTTGAGAGAGAGAGAGAGAGAGAGAGAGAAAAAAGGACAAAGACTTGTTTGGATCTAGAGGCAAAGTAGAGGCCTTGGTGTTGAGAGTCAATTGCCCACCTGGCCTTGCACATGCTATTAGATGACAATTTCTTGAAACTGACTAACTAGTTTTTGTATTGGACTTTTTTTTGGCAGTTTTGGTCTAAAAATTAACTGTAGGAGAAATGATATATACAAATTGAAGTTATATACAAAATTTATGGATAAAATGATGTAGAATTGTAGATCTATGACTTTAAATAAAAAAAACTCAGTAAAATACTTCTTCATATTAAAATTACCACAGGCACATCATTTTGGTGAATGAATCTCTACACAGAAGAGTTGCATTTTTCATACTATAAACATTTGATGGTGATTCACATTGTTTTGATTGTTTGTACTTTGTGGTGCTGCTACAATAACTTCTCCAACATATATATTTTTATATTTAAGAGTGATGTTATGTATATGCACATGCATAAAAGTTTGAATAGTAGAAATAGTGAATTAAATTTACTTTTAAAATTAAAATGGTTAGGTAATGTTTATATAGAAAATGCTTAAATGGAGAAGTCCAAGAGTTGAAAAATGTTTAGACGTAGTTGGTGGTTGGTACTAAATTCAACAAAAATCACTTTCTTCTTCTTATTATTTAAATTTTAAATATATTCATATTTTTATATAAAATCCATAAATTAAATTTTAAAAAATAAAAAGAAGTACGTGACAATTTTATCAATGTCTGACTGTAATAGCCCTTACTTGTGACAATTTTCTCCAAGAAAAAGAAAAAAATTGCTACCTTATTTATGCATTAATAACATATTATAAAGTGCCCAATTGGAATTTTATCAATGTCTGACTTTAATAGCCCTTACTTATGCCAATTTTCTCCAAGAGAAAAGAAAAAAGAAAAGAAAAAAGTGCTACCTTATTTCATCAATATCATATTATAAAGTGCCCAATTGGTATCAACAAATACATAAAGTTGTGTAATGCTTACAAATTTAAAAACTTTACCAATAATCATTGTCTGTTAATGTCTAATATTTTATTAAATTGAAATCATCACTATTTATGCACCATATTTCCCACCATATTTTTCTCATTCATCTCAAACAATTGATTATATATATGTATTATGGTGCACGTATAATTTTTTTTATGTATATGTCATTTTTAGTCAATGATTATCACAAACTAGGCCAATACAAGAAGTGTTTTTTTTTTTTTTTTTTTGGGGGGTCAAAAGATGCAGATGCGACACTGACAAAAATAAAAAAATAATAATATTATACAAACTTATGTGGCTAAATTGTTAGTCTATTATTTTAAAAGCCATTTTTTGTCTATTTAAGCCAAAATATTTTGGCAGTTCGAATTCAACTTATTTAGCTAACAGTGAGGGGGATAACTTTTTTAACAGGACCCATCTTGTTTGAAAAGTACTACAAAATTAACATATTTTCAAACTTTTGGTTTTTGTAAAAATATTTAATTTATTTTTTACTTTTAAATTTCTTGTTTTTTGTAAAAATATTTAATTTATTTTTTACTTTTTTTTATGTCATTCTAGTCTAGGACCTAAAAAAAAAAACTCTTTCTAAACCTTCCCAATAACAAAAAACAATTTTTTTTTTTTTTTTTTTTTTAACCCCATCAGATATTTTAGTAATAAATTTATTCTAAAAAAGAATTTTCCAAACAAACCCTTTTCATCCGTCTAAAGTATATAAGTTCAATCTAAACTTAGGGTTCTGGGCCAAACAAAAGCATAATCTGAAATGAACAAAAAAGCTCACAAGTTGGGTCGGACATCTGCCTATAGCCCATTAAAGCTGGACCAGCAGGCCCATTATTTTTAGTTCTTGGGCTTGGCATATAGGGGCTAGGGTTATGTCTGATCCGATTATATTTTTTGGGTCAAGGTTGGGATGAAGATTGCGTGGCCTAGTCTGAAAAAAGTAAATATGTATTTTTTATTATCTATAAAACTTCTAGTCAAAAAAAATAAGTAAACAAGTATATAAGCACATCATTGATAAGTTTTTAAAACAAATGCAGTTATTAAAAGCATATATTCTTATAGCCCAAATATATAACATTTTTGTGCTTATTTTACATTCTTTTTGGAAAGGGAGCTTTTTTGATAAATCTATTTTCTAATAGTTTTATTCCATCCAACCCATATTCTTTTTTACTATTCCATTAGGTCTAATTTGAGATAAGAAGACCAAAATACCCTTTTCATCTACTTATGTTCCATTTAGTTCACATTATTTTCTTATGTTTCAATAAGTCCTATGGGTGACATAATTACCAAAATACCCTTAATGTGAATGTTCACACCGTCAATATAAATATTTATATCGTCAATGTGTAGGGGCCCGGCTCATGTCGATCCTCGAGGGTGCCCGAAAAAATTCGAGTCGGGCCGGGCCGGCCCACAAGCCAAAAAAATAGGCCCGACCCAGCCCGTTGATAATATGAATATTTACATTGACAAGTTAACATTCACATTGATAGGAGTGTAAAATTAGCCTGCGATCCGTGGGCGGCCCGAAACTAGCCCGTCGCCCGGGGCGGGCCCGGCCCGGCCCATTCACAATATGAATATTCACATTGACATATTAACATTAACATTAACATTGACAAGAGTGTAAAATTGGCCCATGACCCGTAGGCAGCCCAAAGCCCGAGCCCAGCCCGGCCCGGCCCGTTGACAATGTGAATATTCACATTGACATGTTAACATTCACATTGATAGGAGTGTAAAATTAGCCCGCGGCCCGTGGGCGGCCCGAAACCAGCCCATCGCCTGGGGCGGGGGCGGGCCCGGGCCGGCCCGTTCACAATATGAATATTCACATTGACAAGTTAACATTCACATTGATAGATAGGGAAAAAAAATTAAACAAATAATATTTTTTAACAAATAAAAAAAATGAACAAATAGCAGATAAAAAAATTCACAGATAATTTTTTTTTATAGATTTTAGACAGATAGTAAGAGAAACTCACAGATTTTGAACAGATAGAGAGATAAATCCATACATTTTGAACAGATTGGGGAAAAAAAATTAACAGATACATATAAATTTGAACATATAGTCAAAAAAAAATTGAACAGATTGAAAATAATTTAAATAGATATAAATTTGAATAGATAGTCAAAAAAGTCAACAGATAAATTAAGCGGTAAAATTGAAAACAAAATGTCCTCCAAAACTAATAAGAATTTCTCATCAAACTATTTTATAAAAGGTGGACCTTTTATCAACAAAAAAAAATATCTACTAAATCTAATGCCTTGAACAGTTACTAGAGTAGACTTTTCAACAATTTTCTCTAAAAAATACTCCTTATGTTAAGGATTCGTTTGGAAAGTGGGTTGGCTTTTTGACTTTTTAACTATTTTAGCCTGGGGCTAAAAAGTCTCG